CGTCTTTGAAGCGCCATGAGAGGTCAGGAATTTGTAGTCGGCGTTTAGACCGTTGTGTCATATCCCAAACAACCTCGTCTTGGTCAGCTGTGCACCTCTAAAAATAACCGCAGAATTGTGCACCTCCTGAGAATAGAACATAACACACTAGTATTAGAAACACTTAGTCTTCGATGTGTTTTATATCAGCACGTGGTGCTCTCGATATATATCCTCCGCCTCTCAGTAGTGAGTATCGTGAATAGTAACCGGCTATTACGTTCCTGATATCAAGATCCACAAAGCAGTAGTTATCCCGAATGATAACAAACCTATGTCCTAAAGAATACAAGGAAGATAAGCTAATGTCGTGATCAGCGAACATTCTTTGTTTGCAAATACATTTGCTCTTCCATTGCACATCGCCACTCAAGCGCTACGCAGCGTTAGCCACAGCACACCGCTACTATGGCACCCTCGGACTCTGCAAGTCACCCCCATTGCACCTTCTGATGCTTCCCGAGTCATCCAAGATAGGAATGATTGTCGGTATCCCATTCGGAGCGATTTTTCTCCTGGCGATAGGGGTCTACATCGGGTTTGTCTGTCGACGAAAGAAAGCAGAACGTCAAAACGCCGTACCACCACGAAGCAGAACACCTGTTAATATATTCAGCCGAGCCATCAAAGACAAATCTCCAGGGTTAATTGGAGAGCTGCCTGCTACGGATATATATACAGCAGCACGCACATCCAGCACGAGGCGAGCTTGATACTTGCGGGATCACTATATGGTATACACCATATTTGTCTTGCCGATTTCTTCCCTTGTCAATAAATGGATCTGAGGGATGAAATTTATGGGATATGGACTTTTTTCAAATGATCTTATACTTCTTGTTCATTTTCTTCTGCTTTGTGTCTTCACCTTATTCCTCTCTTCTTCTTTCGTCCTTCTTTGTATCTTTTTGTTCCAGTCCTATTTCAAATACCACGTTCCCGTCATCAAGTACATGGCGTCTACACTACCTGTTTAAATGAAAACATGGACCTAGGGGACAACTAGAGGAGTATTACAGGCCGTGTCTGATGCGGGGAGTGTATTTCATATGCGTATGTGTTCGCTCAAATGACATCTAGTTCCTTAACTTTATTCCTGGTGATCTTGCAATGTCCACACCCTTCCCCAATAGCGTAATACTCCCCTCACCTCCATCGTAATTTGGTCTCACGGAGCTGTTGAGGTCCATGATATTGTCCTTATGTACTCTCTTGATTTTAGCTGCTCACTTTCCTCGCTGGCATATTGATACAGTCATAGGTGTTGTAGCGAACCGCCATATTTTAGCTCTAATTCTCACTATCAAAAGATATAATTTGCCAAGGAGTGAGCATATACGCTAGTCCATGCTTGAAAGGCCTACGGGAAGATATTGGAAGATTTTTGCGACACTTCATAGGCCCAGCCATACCACAGGGAGTGGCTGCGGAGTAAAATAACAATAAGAAGAAAAAAAGGATAACGACGACAGCCACTGCTGAGGGGCAAGGGCGCTTTGACATCCTGTGGTCGCTTGAAGAGTTCTGCTGGGTATTAAGCGCCCCTGGGTGTCTTATGCAAGCGTTTACTTTACTTATTTACAGGCACAAATAATACCCAGCGCAATCGCCAAGGTACTCACGGTTGCGGAGCTAGAAGGATGAATTGGATATCTGCCGCAAGCGGTCGTGTTAGTCGAGACGTAAATAGAGATACAGGATGGCCCAAGCAGAGGGCATCATATACCGTGCGGTGACAAGAATATCTAATACACGAAATCCGTCTTATTGGGATGATGATCAACCATTTCAATCTGGTGTACGGTTCTCCAATGCTCTACACGTATAGCCCCTCACGAGGGCTGAAACATACATAGCCCTAGCTTGAATACAGCCATATAAGTAGACGAAAGACCACGGGGCAGCGCTACTAGGCAAACGGGAGTAAGCATATGCTGTCGAATTGTAGCATTCAATCAGGCAAGGATGCCCTTCGTCGAGACCCGGAACAAGTTTCCTTCCACCTGGAATGCAGCAAAATGTAGCCATGAACGGCCATGTCATCACACAGATTCCAATCAGGTTAGGTGCATTCTGTTGGTGTGGTGTACCCTGTCAAGAGGAGTATTACAGTGTCCAATAAAACGTTCCTTGGCGGGCTTGCATGCATCCGACACATCACTCCATGCTTGAATGCCTGGCCGAACTGAAAGCGTGGGGACGTAACCGTCATACCATTCGGCAGAGAGCTGGATTGCATTATTGCTTTCGTTGGAAGCTGCATGTCTTGCATATTGAGGGGTTTTACCCCGTATTCTGTTGCTGGTAGTGTTGCATTTGCAAAAGTACCATGACTTAAGAGCTGCTTCTCAGCTGACCTTTGGCCCACCTGTAAGTGGGGAAGAAAATACCTATGATTTATTACTTTGGAAAGTAGCATGAAGGAGAGGCATTTAGTTTATGGATGTTTCCATACCAAGCGCCGTGCTGCATCATCGGAGCGACGACTTGACTACCTATACCCGCCACCCACTGTTTGACTTCTTTTATAGGTGACGATCCCTGTAATAGGTATCCACGACTTGAATTACCTATGGATGGGTTTTACAAGTCGCGAGTCTATCTAATATTGCATCGAGCCTAGAACTCAGGCCATAGCTATAACTGAGCAGCCACATCTGAGCCCAAGGCAGGATTGCTGAACTCTTTCGTGGAGGGCCCACGCCTTGCATTTCCCCTAGCCGGAGACAAGGTATGCCACACATCGAATATGAGAAACCAGACTTGCGGCCATCTAGACCTTTATTGTCTTGAGCGGGGAACACGACCATGATTCGGAACTTGCGGAAGTGCGCTCTCGATTAACGTCCATTGGCTTGCCATATTGGTTCAGATCATGGAGTGTACACCAGGTGTGCTTTTGCCCGAGGGCCGTGTCAATCACGGCATGACTTGACGGAAAGCCCTCCTACCTTGAGGACCGGTCAACGTCACCAACCAAATCATGTTAATGAGTACATAATGGAAACTGAAATTGATGCACTTTTAGCTCGTGCGGTAAGGGGGCCTGGCTATAAGTACTCAGCAAAGCTCACCCCTAATCTGCTATCTTAACAGCCTTCAAACTGAATATTCATTCTCATTGAGCATCGAGCCAGATTTTCATAGCAATCCCCAACATCATGCAGTCTGTCAGGTACATACCTACCTATATCCAGCGTGCCCCAGGAGCTCCGGCTACGGGCAGCTCCCTTCATAGCCATGGCCATTGGATGCCCGAAAACGTCGAGCTCCGTCGAGCCTGGCTTGCAAGCTTGCTCGACAAGACCAAAGCAGAAATCCCCAAAAAGCTGCGCAACGAGGAGAACCCAGTTGAGACTTTCCGAAAGCTGATCGAGGACAACTCGACCATTTACATGCTGGCCCATTCCATGTTCGAGGAAATTCCCGAAAAGGCGCCGTACGATAGGGATCCGACCACTCTGAGGAAGCAAGTCCGGAACTACAAGACCATGCTGTACCTCTTCAATACACTCCTCACTGAGGTGCCAGAATACTTTCTGAAAAACAATCCAAATGTACCCAGCGGCCTCATTGGCTTTCCATTCAACATTATCGTTGACTGGCCCATGGGTACACCAAGCGGACGTCAATTCTTCTTGGACGAGAGAGTGAATACGTGTCTCAAGAAGATTTTGAACAAATGGAATGACTTCCTCAAAGACCCTACAGCTGGGGGTAGGGGCGATAAGGGTGGCAATCAGGCTCTGATCAATGCTGGATGGAGCTCCGACGAGGCGATCCGACAGCTGCAAGACAAAGCGAATGAGGCCACCCCCAATGAGACGCCAAAGACGTTCGACAAGATATTCGAGTATCCCTCTGGAGGTACTCAAGCGACCTTCTACAACTATGCATGCTGGGATGATTTCTTTACTCGGAAGTTCAAGGAGGGTGTTCGTCCCGTAGCTAAGGCGGCTGTCGTCAACGCCTGTGAATCATTCCCTCTATCATTCGATACTGATGTGTCGCGCCGCAACACTTTCTGGCTTAAGGGCACACCATACTCGCTCCACGATATGCTAGGAGGAACGCAAGACGACAATGTTTCGTCCTATGTTGACAGCTTCGTCGGCGGCTCGGTGTATCAAGCCTTCCTGAGTGCCGACTCCTACCACTGCTGGAATGCTCCAGTTACCGGTGTAGTTAAGTATCGCAGCCTGATTGATGGAACCTACTTTGCCGAAACAGCTGCTGCAGGATTCGGAGGGTCGAGTGGTCCTGATCCGGCTGGTCCAGACGTATCCCAGCGTTATATCACTCATATAGCTGCGCGAGGTGTTCTCATCGTTGACACCAATGTCGAAGGCGGGGCAAACATTGGGCTAGTTGGATTTGTACCCGTTGGAATGTCCGAGGTATCAACCTGCGACTGGTACCCAGTTACGGAAGTAGGAAAGACTATCACTCAGGGAGATGTCATTGGGGCTTTCCATAGTGGTGGATCTACTCACTGCCTTATCTTCCAGCGTGAAGCTGTTAAGAAGCTGGAATTCATTCCCAAAGCACAGTACCCTGAGATTGCGACGACCAATCTAGCTGTGAATAGTGAGTTGGCTAGTCTCATCTCTTGAGATATTCGTCTTTACTTCCCTCGACGTGCGCTGTCGGTCTTCTCGGGGGGCACGTGATTCTGGTTATAGTTTGTGTTGTTCTACTGCCACCGTCCGTGTGACAAGAGACTTACCAGTTTATTCCTTTAAGCCCTAGCTTCACAAATTACTAAATGATGATACCTACTAGGACGATGTCCTTGGGACCTTAGGTAGATGTGTAAATAATCAACAACCACATACTGTGGGGCTTTTTATATACTTAAATCCCAAGATAAGCACCTCTGTTAAGGCCGATGATATATTCCACATCCGTTCTTCTGTAGGCATCCCGTCAACAGCCAGATTATCCAAAGTGGCATTCTGTCATTAATGTTCCCACACTAAAACAGGTTTCACTGTGGCTCCCTCCTTCATACCTTGTAGGGCTTGTTCATATTCAGCGGCCTAAGAATTGCAAAATTGTGTCAGCAAATACCCGAGGTGTTGCTCCAGAATGACAGACAAGTAGGGCCACGAACATCAAAATACTGAACTAGCTGGTCGATGGGGAAGCGGCCTTCGCGATACCATTCAATCATTTGTGGAATGGCCTTTGTGGTTGTCAGCATTGGGATAACAGCTTAAAATGTACAAGAGTGTTCTCAAACCTTGCTGGGAATGCTATCACCTTCAATACATCCCATTACCGAGCGACCGGACTATCATATCCCAAGAAAAATCGTTAATCTTGAAAGGGATCTGGATAGATACTCGTTATTAACTCACATTTATATGTTGCACGACGTCAATGTTAAGCGCATATCCTGAGGGAGGCACCCCTACGAGGACCAGTTTGCCTCTTTTATGTGTAGCCTGGAGGCCTTGTTCAATGACAGTTGGAACACCTGTGGTGTCAATTACAATGCTGACCCCGGGGAAGGATAGGTCGCAAACAGCATCCTTCAAGCTTTTTCCATGAAGGCTCGCTGTGTTAATAGTATGTGATGCCCCTAGTCTCTTAGCCTGTTCGAGGCGTGTGCCAACCCTATCGACAGCAATTATCGCTTTGCATTCACGTATTTTAGCGGTCTGTCAATGTTTTCGTCAGTTCGATATTGCGGCTCAAAGCAGAACAGAGCAAAGACACACCATAAGCGCCCCCATCCCAACAGCACCCAAGCCCAATATCATCACAACGTCATCTGGGCCAGCTTCAGAAGTGTTCAAAACGGCGCCCATTCCAGTTTGGAATCCACATCCCAGTGGTGCAAAGAGTTTGAGCTCGTCCTCGCTCCTGAGAATATCTTTGACGTTGAGAACGCTGGCCTCGCTGACTACACTATGTCGGGCAAAGCTCGACTGACCAAAGAACCTCGACCAAGGCTCTTCCCCAGCTTTCCGAATTTTCATTTGCCCCCGGCGTCCAACGTAATTCTCCCCAGCGAACACATCGCAATAGGCGGGATGCGAGCTCTGACACGCGTCACACGATGAACAGGAGTAGTAGGATAGTAGGACTGGATCCCCGACCTCGACGGACTTGACATTCGGGCCCAGTGCGCGTACAATACCGGCGCCTGTGACCAAGTTAGTATGGATATAATTGTATCCCGTTTCTCCATCAATCTCATTCATGGTCCCGTATATACACGGGTTCTGAAATACCTTCATGTCCCAATACCTTGGGATACTGGATTCCAATTCGTCCAGACGGTACCGATGAGAGAACTATATCCGTATGACAGATGCCTGTCGCATGCATTTCAACCAGAACTTCGCCCTCGCCAGGTGTATAAACCTCGACCTCCTCCATCGCCCAGTTTATGCTCTGCGGCTGCTCGGGCTCCCGAGCAACGATGGCGGTTGTAGCAATCATTGTTGTGATGAAAGGCGCCCTCGCAGTAGTGGGTGGTCGACGAGCCTAGGATGGCTTTCGTGTTAGATTAAACCAGCTAGTTGTCTTATAAATAATGCCAGCTTTCACATGGCGTGATGTTTCGCAGGTAAATAGATGGCTTTGGCTCGGTGATATATTCCGCGAATCGCTGCTTCCCCCGCACCGCTATGCCAAACACTGATGAAGCTTAACTTTCTTCCTACCTCGGGCCGATGCCTAGGTTGGAGGTTTGTCCACCCCAAGCTGTGTATAATCAGGTAGTGATCCGTTTCGATATGTTTACAACCTACGGTGGCTTTAAACTTGTTCGCCTATTCGTCATGCATAGCAATTGGGTTTGGAAAGGGAGTGGCCGTATTTTCTTTTTATTCAAGGCTACTAATCTTATAGTTAGTAGCTTCTGTAGTCCTACATAGACCAGGTATCTTCACGATTTATATAAAATAATATATTATTGTTCTACGGTTGATTACTTCGAGACGTTTTCATTCTTCGCGTAGATACAGCGAGTCTCAGAAATGCCATATGAAGAGGGAACCCGTGGTGCTTCCCACGGCTGTAGCATAATCTGGGGACTCAGCATAACGGGAACAGGATATTTGATTGTTGCATGTTGCCATTGCATGAAAGAATTGAATAAATACGAAAGAAAAATCAAAAAGATTGAGGCCGTCAAAATTAAGGCCTAAAGCTTAGCCAGGGGTCATTGTACAGTTCACTAGCCGTGGCCCGATCTGCTGGCTCCCAGCGCAGCATTTTGCCCACAAAGCCAAGGAAGAGTCTTTTGTCTTCTCCTTGGAGGAATGGTGTACGGTTTGAAAGATTAAACTCTTCAGGCGGGACTATCCCTGGATGGTTGAACTCTCCTAAGTAAACAGTTAATTACCGCCGAAGGTATTGAAGTGGCAGAGAGTATACCATGGCTGGAGAAGAGTTCGGAGCAAATGCCTTTGTCTGCCCTCTCCAGTAGCTGCAGCGGAGGTGGACCAAGTACCCGTATGATTTGAGCTATATGTTCTGCTCGCGAATATTCTGGAGTCCAGTCCATCAAACAAGATATCATCCGCAAGAAGCTGCCACAGCTGTATAGGAGCACGATATTGGTAACTAGTGCAAGTATATTCATCAGGGCCATACCATGGTTCCCAGGTTCCAAATATCTGCACTATATGTCCATGTTGTTTTTAAAAGTACCTCTGGTGCACAAAATGGTTGAGGCTGAATATCATGGTTATGAGGCTTAGAGGTGTTGCCAAAAACAGCCGCACTGAAGTCGCTAATTTGATCTAATCCCATCCCTTTCCTCAGATGCCCGAAATCGGGACGGGACTGAAACACGGGATGGCCATCATTATCCCAAAACGGGGCAGGATTGCGTTCTTGTTCGCGAACATATTTCTCAAGAACATCAGAGTCTTCGAATCCCACGAGAAGGTTATGTGCCTTAAGATCTTTGCCATGATTAGAGAGAGGATGCTCGGGGAAAATTGGGAAAAAGTGTACCTGTGTGTATAATACCGCACTGGGAATGCAGAAAATCTAGGCCCTGGAGCACTAATTTCAGAAATGGCTTTAGGACAGCTGGAGGCACACCGTTGCTTCCAAGGTGCTTCCCCAGAAGCCAGAGTGGTTCACTTAATGGTTCATATACCAAGCACAAGTGCTCTCCCAGCGCGCCTCGGATGCCAAAGGACTCACGGACAAGCCGAACGTATGCCCGACCCTCATGATTAGGCTGCAGCTGAGAGATATATCGAGACATTTCTAATTCTTCAGTAGCTGATCTTTGTTCTTCCTTGCCGCAGTTCGTAATTTTCAACCTCACATAAAAGAAGCATGAAGGAATAAGCGAATCGACCGAGTTGTGTCCTTTGCTAGCCAGACGGTAGAATTAGCACCCCAACCAAGCTTTCAAATGATACAGTATCGCCTAGCTAGGGTCTCTCCAACACGAGCTGGATGATATCTTTTGGGATCATAACCTGGCTTTTGATTCTCTTCTCCCATGAGGGAGACGTGGCGCGAGAAAGAAGTCTGAAACTAGAAACTGATGAAATATGGCGCGTTAATTTTGCAGGAGGCCGATGATAAGTAGGCATTTGGAATTGATAACGCGTCATGGGTTGTACCCAAGTTGATGTTGACAGACCAGCCAACGGCTATTGTTTTCCAAGAGCCAAATGCTAGGGATGGAATCTCACGAAGCTATCTGGAGGATATATGGTAAATTTATTGATTGCTCTATTATTATCGTAATAACAATCTGTCCTCTCCATAATCACGAAGATTTACTAAAGTTAAAAAAGAAATAGAATACTTATGTCACACAACTATTCAAATTACCAACTATTCATATATAGCTTGCTACTGGTGTCCTCACCGCCCCGTCCTTGGCATTTTATGCCTTGCTTTGCCTTCATATACGTCCTTATACATCATGGTAAACGTCGCCTCATCATCCTCCGCCACGTTCTTGCTTACTTTGAGAAGCCCGTTGTACTTGTTCTCATGGAAGACGGTGAGCATCAAACGATCTGTGTCACTTCCATATCGAATGGTCACAGGCGTGTTCTGTTTCACTTCTCCGTAGTCGGTACCATCGACGCCTCTAATATACCAATAGCCAGCCAGGGTTTCGGTGGAAGTAGGCAGCGCCACAGGGAATCTATCCTCTTTCCCATCCTTATCACCTTGAAATTAGAGGTAGAGCCCGGTCGAAGGGTTCCTTAAGGTGTATGGTTGACCGTACATAATCTAAATGGGTCAGATCACGTATTTACGCAATAGTGAGGCAGCATACCTTTGTGACGCCGTGCCCTTCAGGAGTTTTGCATTCCAGATAAATGCCATACTTGCTGCACTCGTCCACACCCTCGTGCAGCCCGGCAGTAGCACCCTTGGCCGGGACGTTTTTCGACGTTTTCTCCAGTTTCTCAATTTCGTCTAAAGTGATCGGTACAATTAATACTACGATCCTGTAGGGGACAACTATAGACTTACCCTTTGACCAGTCCGCTTTCTGGAAAGCTGTGAGGTACTTATGCCAACCGTAATCACCCTTGCTAGTTGTACGAAGGTAGAACATTCGGCCTTGTCGAGACTGCAATATCGGCTGGGCCTGGAGTGGAACTTTCGGATCTTGTACATCCTTATTCATGAGGCTCTTGACCTTTTTGTGGATCCCTGCTGGCGCTTCGAACTGGGCAAGTAAATTTATGATGTGTCGGTTGCCGGATCTCTATACTGTTTGGTAAGTTCTGCTCGTTATATATACATGAGATAGTTTTCAAACCTTGATGATTCTCCAATTCTGGTATGCGGCCACGGTGTGGCACCAGTCCGGGGGGCTTATAGAATTTGTTAATTCTTTGTATGTAAAGCCAGGTCTTCCCACCATACACGGGGCTTACCTATTGCACAATAGGGTGTTTCCACCATTTGCCTGCCACTGCAAAGTGCTAGTTAGGTTGCTATTGGAGTTACTCTCAGCCTCGTCACGGGTTCGTCCGTAACCGGCGCTTGTCGAGCCCCCGGCGCCCGTTGGAGTTTTGAACGAGGCTGCAGCTTGCACTTTCATAGAGAATTTGGTATCCTTCGCGCTTGATGCAGTGTGAGAATCAAATTCTTCGGAAGCGAACAGTCGTCCACCTAGTTGGACTTGGGTACTGAAGTATTCGCCTGCAGGAAGTCAGATCCTGGCGTTCAATGCCGAAAGAACACTGTTTTGCGAAGCCTCACCAAACAACTTTATAAAATGATCCGCTGTCTTAGCATCAGCAGCCTTTTTTAGTTCTTCTTGGCATCGCTTTGTGATTTCCAGGCTGTATTCGTCTAATCGAACCGTCACGCGAGGGAACTATATCAGTGTCAGGCAGCATCCGAATCTACAACGAAGTTCACAGACATTATAGGAGATGTTCATTTGGCTAGACTCGCCAGACTCGTCTGTTGTCGTTTGGTCGGTATTTGAAGTTTTTACTCCGCCGCTAAAGCCTAAAACACCACCAAAAGCGGGTAATCCACTAGGTCCAGGTTAAAAACATATTAGTGAGAGATGAGGGTATAGGAGGCCTGTACCCCGACATGGAGATATCAACTTCGTCAATAGCTGACTTCGAAAGAGACGATTGAAATTGGGTCTTTGTCTCATATATCGAGACATATGATTGGTCATCAACGAAGTAGTCTGGTATGCGAACGCTGGGCTTTTCAAGAGTCAAACCTCGATCACAAGATAACAATGGCTCGCCTCACCTCGTTTTCGTCTTCTTCATCATAGACTCTTCGTTCCTTTACTCTGAATGCTGTAGACCAAAAGTTCGGTCGTCAGAAATACGACAATCATATAGATCAAAAGCAAAAGGACCTACCTGGGTACGGAGCTCGAATCAACCCTACCGGCGTGCTCTTTCCATGACCATTATCCTGGCGAACGACGCAAAGGCCATAGCAAAGTGAGTTGTTAATTGTAACCGTTTTCCAGCTGGCTTGGTCTAGCTCTTGCGGCTTCCTATATGTTGTTGTTAGAGTAGCAGAACCACTGAGGGCAAGGGGAGAAAAAGAGGATCGGATACGTCTCAATGCTGTTCACAGCTCTCCAATCTGCCTTGTTTATGGATGACGAGATAGCAGGGGCTTTTGGAGCTGGAAGGTATTCTCGAGGAGCCTTATACCAGTTGATGAGTATTTTATTCTCAATTTGAGTTTTGTTATTATATATCACTCACCGGTAGACTGATATCAACCTTCGGGATATCGTCAACCTGAAGCTTCTGCTTTCGTCTGAGGTAAACGTTCGAGGCGTTCTTCGCTGACCCTTTTTTCTATTTATTGCCAGGTTAATTGAGCCTTTCTCGGATTTGCGGTTCGTCTGGCTTACATTCACATAATTAAGGTAAGCCTCAATCGTCCACTGATCAAGGTCGGTAATAGACCCTCCCTGCGCAGTGCAGAATGGCAGTTTGCAACTAATTGACTGTTAGTGCTATCTTAAATGGTTTAAAGCCTCTAGGAAACCAACTATTCTTTGTGACCGCTGTTCTTTATGAGGCCATGAAGGTCTTTCAATGACTTTTCGTTGATATCCTTGCTCCCAATTTTCATCAAGAATGCCTCTTCACTATTCTGGTCAGTGACAACAAGAAATACCAATGTTTGACGGTCGAGTGGTGTTCCATCAACTGTCTTTGTGCCTTCCCCTGTTTTTCCTACGTTGCCCTCTGCTATTTTTCCAACGTTCGCCTTGCCCACCACCTCTGAGGTTTTTATGGTGCCTATTTTCTGATCGCCTTCTGTATGTAGTAAATCCGCGTTTTTCGGATCCTGTTGTAAGGCCATTGGGGCGGGGGGTGGAACAGGTGATTCTTCACTGATGCTAGATGGCGCCTGTGATTGCTGGACGTTGGCAGGGCCGAGGATAGCCATAACGTAGGAAATATCAGGTAACAGCCCAGATAGGTCTCCGTAGGGTATACGGAGAAGTCCGCGAAAATTACAAGCACCACCGAAAGGGAATCACTGGGTTTACGTAGGTTCTTTGGATGGGATTGATATAATAGAAAGCATACATAAGACGGCCCATTAGGCTAGGTAGCATGTCGAGCACTCAACCTATAATTCCTACAGCCGATACCCCACCAGCTAGCTCCCATTGCGAAAAATGGGCCTGAGCCACGCACGACATTGGAGTCACCCAGGCTCCTATGGGGACTGCAACTAATTCGAGAAAAAATACGTTCAGCTAGGTAGATCATTCCTCTTTCTGTATAGGAATTCCCTCCCTGATTCGGCATCTTCCTTTCTCGGACCAACATACAGGCCCCACCCATTGCATGTACCCTGTATAGAAACAGCAGAGGATACAGTTGCGTAGGTTGAATAGCATAGCGTTAGCACTGTCAGGAAAAGGAAGGAATGAAGGGGGAGGGGGGAAAAGTACTACTATTGAATTCGAATAACTTAGTTAATATCATCAACCTACCAATTCCACACAACCTCAACCAGCTTCCGGTAGGTAGTTGTCCATTGGAGATTTTGTATCGATCCGATTCGATCATCACAGCACTTGCCACGTCAATCTTGGCTGACATACAGCCACTGTGATGACAGACCTGCCTTGGTATAGCCCACATACGCTCCAGTAGATTTGCATCATTGTACCTTACTAACCAGCTATAGGTACTCTACGGTTCTTTGATATTACAGCAACTATATAACCTGACTTTTAACGGCGTGTAAGAAAGCTGTATATGTACCATGATTGGAATAGCCAGCTTTGATATGTAAAACGTGTGGCTAGGCCATTGAACAGCGAGCTGATCTTAATCATATTGAATATTGGAGAGCTACGGAGTAATCATATCCGTGGAGTGGGGGTTGGGCTGGAAAAGGAGCCGAGAATTACGATGTTGCATAGATCGTCGTTCCACCTACATGAACTGCCCAATTGGAATAGCCCTCTAGCTTAGAACTTGTTTCAGTGTGGGCAACAATGTTACAGGGAGCAGAAATTACCAGGATTGCACGCAAGTAATACGGCCACTCGACCATACATCCGACAACAGCACCATATACAACCTATATCATGCACTGGGGTCTCATTTCTCTGGAAAATTATTTTTATTTTGACAATGAATTCCTAACGAATCATCAAGTATCACGACTCAGAAGATTACCCAGCAATTCGGAACCAATGCATACGTCTGGGGCTGATCCAAACGCGCGAAGGAGCCACGCACAGCCCAAGCCATAGCTGTTCCGGCG